GAAACAAATGGCTTTTGGAAAATTATGCTAAGGGACTTTTGCCATCTTAAAAGGACTGTCCTCTCACCATCTGGATTGCCGTCCTGGGCAGGCTGGTGGTGCAGTGGGCGAAGTGTTGGGCTGTTGACCAAAAGGCTGCCTTCTGAACCCACCAGCTGTCCCGCAGAAGCAAGGTCTGACCGTCTGTGTCATATAGACGCTCGGCCTGAGACCTGACAGGGAAGTTTACTTGGTCCTGTAGGATCATAACCAACACGATGGCTGCAGTTTTGAGTTCCTCCTGACCAGGCGGGGGGGAAGCGGCGGCAGTTTGCTCCCCCAGAGATCTGCATCCACAGAAGCCCCGTTCTATCTTCCCCTGCAGATCGCTGATGGGAATTCACCCAATGGCAACAGATCTACTGATCAATACATCGCTCAACAATTCTCACACTCAACGCGACACTCCTGAAATTTATTTGTAAGAGTAACTGATGGAGCAGGAAGGAGGAAGGAGAAAGAGAAAGGTGAGAGGGACTGAGAAAGCAAAGGAGTCAGAGAGAAACAGAGTGAAAGACAGACAGCTGTCAGAGAGGCAACAGACAGCTCGCTGCGGAGCAGGCCGGCCGGCAGGGACCACACTCCGAGCGTGGCCTCTGTAGCACCTGCCTTTACACAGAAACCCACAGATGGGTAACCAGGGTCGGCTCAGCTGCTGGCCGCCCTTTCACAGAGCTGAGAGCTGGGGCTCAGTGTTAGACTTGCGTCTGTGGCCAGCAGATCGTGAAGTGGAGCTCCTGACTTCAAAGGAGGCCTGGTGGTCTGGTGTTTAAAGCACTCAACTTCTAACCAAAAGGCTGGTGGTTCAATCTCGCAGCTGCTCCATCACAGGAGCCGACGTGGCATTCCGCTTCCATGAGGACAACTGTTAGGTGTCGCCAACTCGGTTCCCTGCCACGTGACGCAGGGCAGAACAAAGCGTCCCACTCCTGCACCACCAGCCCCACCACCTGCTTTCCTGAGCTCGCTGCTGCAGCTGCAGGGACAGCCCACTTCATCGAGGGCCTTCCTCTGTTTCCTTCCCTCTCCGTTACTCGGAATGACGTCTTTCTCCAGGACATGGCCAAGCCTGATCACAGGCCCCAGGTGCACAGGATGAAATCTCATCCTCCTTGCCTCTAAGCAACGAGTTCATTTCCTTGTCCTTGGTATGGTCAGTACTCTTCTCTAACATCTCTTCTTGGAAGCGTCAATTCTTTGTCTTCCTTCTTCACTGTCCAACTTTCACACACACATGTTGCTGTTGAAATGTGATGTCAAGTTGGAGCTCACTCAGAGCTGACCACGGGGTGGATTTTCAGAGGTGTCAATCACATGGAGGGAGACTGCCCATCTTTCTCCCAAGGAGTAGCCTGCTGGGTTCAAACAGCTTGCTTTTGAGTTGGGTGCACAATTCTTTACCCACTATGCCACCAGAGTGTCCTTAAGAAGCACAGCTTAGATCAAATGCACCTTAGTCCTCAAAGTGACAGTCTTGCCCAGATGCCTTGATCTCAGTGAGGTCCATCCTGAGCTCTCTATTTTAACTGGTAACCCTCGCCCCCTTTATTCACTCACTTGGTGGTCAGCACCCGTCCATCACAGTTGTTTGCTACCCTCTTGCAGGTGCTGACTCACAGTGACCCCGTGGACACCTGTGCACAGCACCACAGGGTCGACTGGGAGTTCAATGAGTTTCAGGAGGATCTCCAGGCCTTTCTTCTTAGTCCACCTGGGTCTGAAAGCTGTGTGGAAACCTTAGCATCCTAGCAACACATACAACTGCAGAGACACAAGGGTGGTAGCTGTGCCTGAAGTGCCCTGGCCGGGCACAGAACCCTGGTCTCCCGTGTGGAAGGTGAGAATTCTACCGCTGCCCCACTGCTGTCCTCAACACCACAGGACAGACATGTATAATGTACTTCCTTTTCTTCCATTTAAGGGCAGGTATGGAACCAAGGCTGAGCATAAGAAGTTTCCAGATGATGGAAAAGTGTGTATTTCATAGAAACGGCCCTAATTTGAAGAAGAGGAACTCAAAGGAGGTCATGCTGGCTTACAAGAGCCCTTCCCAGTTATTTAGAGCACACCCAGCCAACTGCAGAAGGGAACAGTCTACCCCCTCACCCTTGGACAGCTGCACACAAACCCGAAAGCTGATTCAAGGGCGAAAGAAGCCAGGGGATCCTTTTCTGGTTAAACCACAAGGTCAGCAGGCCAGTCCTTAGCTGGACAGTATTAATGTGTGCACGGTCGCTGCATTCCAGGCATCGCTACCAGCTCATTGCTGTGAGCTCAGAAGATGAAGCAGCTTTCTCAAAGCCTGGCTTCACCCTCTCCAGGGCAAACTGTGTGTTTTCCTAGCAGTCCATGGTATAGTCAACACTCTTCTCCAGCATCACAGCTCAAAGGCATCAACTCTCCTTCTATCATCCCTGGTCATTGTCCAGCTCTCTGATGCACAGCGAGTGATTGAAAAGACCATGGCCTGTATCAGGCACACCTTAGTCTCCAGACTGACATCACTGCTCCTCAGTACCTTGGAGAGATCTCTGACAGCAGACTTTCCCAATGCAGTTCGTCTTTTCATTTCCTGGCTGCAGATACCAAGAGTGTTGACTGTGGAGCCAAGCAAACTGAAGCGGTAAACAATCTCAATCTCTTCACCATCCATCATGATACTGCCCATCGGCCCAGTGGTGAGAATCTTTGTATACTTGATGTTGTGCTTTAATCCACATAAAAAGCTGTAGATCTTGACCTTCTGTAGCAAGCGTTTCAGGTCCTCCTCGTCTGTATAATGCAGATTGCTGAAGAGTCTACCTCCAATCCTGATGCCACACTTCTCCTCATAGAGCCCAGCCTCAAATTCTACCACCCCCCAGTCTTCTCGGTTCTGATGGAGACCTCCTGTTCCATCTGTTGCTTGGTCCACCTAGACTTTGTCAAGATTAAATACCGGCCAAGAACGAGATTCCCAAACCTCTCACGGCTCAGAGCGGGTCTCCGGCTCCAGTCCCGCACCAGCAGGTGACACTGAGGCTGATACACCCATTGCCTGTGGAGCAGTGACCCTAAACCTCACGCTTCCCTTCGCGTGGGAATTAGGACATTCTCCCCTTCCTGGAACTGACCACCTCCCTGCCTGATGACTGAGTGGATTATAGGGCGGAGTCTCCTGGCTCAGTCGTGGCCGTCTGCGGCCCTCATGCCAGCCTCCTATCTGTGGGGACCACAGGCACAGTGGGACAGGACCCTGTGGTCCATCCACTGAGCTTCCCCAGGCTGATGTCCAGGTCACCAGGCCTCCTCTTCTTCCATCTTTGTCCAGAACATTCACTAAAACCTGCTCTACATCAAAGCTAGACACAACCTCCACTGACAGATGGGTGGAGCTTGTGCCCGGAGCACCAGCCAGGGATCGAACCGGGGTCTCCTGCGTGGAAGGCGAGAAACTACCCCTCACCTCTACCACTGACCTCATCTGTCCAAACCCACAGGGTGAGATCCCAGCATGCTTTGCTCTATGGCATGTCACACAGTCTGCGTTTTTCACACCGTGAAGGCCTGAGGCACCTCTGGGTTGAGCACATCACCACCTTTCCAACAGCACGCACCCCCTTCCTGCCCGTGTCCCACTGTGGTCATCCTCACAATACTGGGAACTTCTCCATCACGCCACTGTCCACTCCCCAGACCACAGCAGCGTGGTGTGAGCATCACTGGAGATGTGCTGGGAAACCACAATGTCCCTGTGACTCACTTTATTGTGACATCCTTTTACGTGGTGGCCACGAACCGAACCTGCAGTGTCTCTGAACTCAGGCTGTATGTTTCAGAAACATCCCAGAACCATCTCTTACACATGTGTTCTAGCTCTGCACTGCCTTTGCCGCTTCACTCCAAGTTCCTAAACTCAACAGTCCCCTTATGTCATTAAACAGAAACCAGCTGCTTAGTGAGGTCCCTGTTCCCCTTTACCGTGTGCGTCTGTGTGTCCGTGTGTCCTAGGCTTCCCGTCCCTTCACAAGATACTCAATTTTCTAATTTGAAAAGAATGGAAATACTGGGGAAGGGCTGCTGTCGTCCTGCCGCTCTCACCCCATACAGATTTGGTGGTGGTGGTGGAGACTGCTGCAGATTTGCCAGCCTCCTGCGTGTCGGCCTTGCCCCGCAGTCACAGGTCCAGCAGACCATCTCTCAGAAGCAGACGCAGCAGGATCTCAGAGATACTTGTGGGTTTCACTCCAGGCCACCAAAATAAAATGATGATCACAATAAAAAGAGGTCCCAGAATCTCTGGTTTCCCTGTGTTCAGCAGGAGGGCAGCTCTGGTGGTGCAATCTGCTGGGCGCTGTGCCGCTCACCCAAAGGCTGGGTGTCTCCTCGGGTTCGAATCCACCAGCTGCTCCTTGCATGACTATTTACAGCCTCGGAACCCCAACAGGAAGCGCAGTGGGTCAGAAAAGACGGGCAGCAGTGAACTAGGTGACAGTGCACGTGAGCTAGGTTTACAATCACCCTGTTGTCTAGGAAACGTGCAACTGATGAACAGTGTGACATATTGGGGAAAATGACCCAAAATGGGACCCACAGACATGAAGTGAGCTGTTGGTAAAGTGGCATCAGTAGACTTGCTTAGTGCAGGATTGACACAAACCTTCAATTTCTTAAAAAAAACACACAAAAAACCAAACCAAAACCCAAATACAAAAACAAAACCACAGTATCTCTGAAGCGTAATGAAACGAGGTGTGCCTGCAGCCAGGGCTTTCTTCCCAGGTGCCGATGTGTGGACTTGAACCTCCAACTTCCCAGGGAGCAGCTGAGCTTGGCAACCATGTGGTCCTCCCGGAGACTCTTAGTATTCCTTTGATTTCTTTTTTTTTTTTAATCAAGAATTAAACAGTATTCATGACACAGCAGTGGGCCCCCCGAGCAGGCCTGGCTGACACAGGCCTCGGCCCCCACCACACGCTCACCTTCTTCTTCCTCCTCTTCTTCTTCTTCTCCTTGGCTGCCTGGGCCTGCTTGTGCTCCCACACCAGGTTGGTGAGGTTGGCCACGTACTCGTCGGTCTGCTGCAGAAGGTAAGCTAACCGCCTGTCCTTCTTCTGATCAATCAGCTTCCGGTAGCCTTCTTCATCTTCGGCCTGGGATGGAGAGAGAGCAGATTAAAAACTCTGTCATAAAAGTCTGCTGCTGTTGTCATCAGCTGCCACCTTTGCAACTCTAGCCCAGGGCGACCCCATCATTGAGGACGGAACGAAATGTCACCAGGTCCAGTGCCACTGTCGTGGTCAGCTGGGGCCTGGACAACTGTGACCCCGGGGCTTACGCCGGCTCATTCATAGAAGGGCTGGACAAGCGTTTCTTCCTAGTCTGTCTTAGCTGGGAAGCTCCTCTGAAAGTCGGTGAGTGTCCCAGCCTCCCACAAGCCTCTACCGGCAGACAGGTGGTAGCCACACATGAAAACACATGGGCTGCAAATTTAATCCAAGTTCCACATGTGGAAGGGAAGAGTTCTACCCCTGGGCCACCTCTGCCCCTGATAAGGGCTCTGGCCCATGCACTCTGTCCTCTCCCTCCCGCCCCTTGGCGTGAGTGGACTCTAACTGGGGGGGACTGTGACTGGCTATTGAAGAGGCTGCATACAGGTGGGGACCAGGGAACCCGGGGAGGCGGATGCCTGAGCCCCCGACAATGAGAAAGGAGCATTTGGCCACAGAGACAAATGAATAACTCACACCAAGCCAACATTCTTTTTCTTCTACGATTTTTTAACTGCACATTCACAGTCAAAATGTGACAGGTCACCAACTAAGATGGGTTCTTCACTTTTTATTTTGGATAATTTCTAAAAATAATGAAAAGCAGAGAGAGTGATAAAGCATAACTCTCATCAGGTAAGAGAAACCAACTCAGGGTCAAGAAGGCGGAGCAGAATTTAGATTCTCATGGACTCCAGACTTCCTGGAGCCAAGGAGCCTGGCTGAGTCTGTGGAACTGTAGCTCTGAGATCATCTTTAAACCTCCAATCCAAAATGTCCCCAGATGTCCTCTTCAACGCAAACAGCTTAGCTTAATTTACTAGTAAAGAATGTCTACCTTGAGCTTGGAGCTCTTTAACAAAACTACCTTTATGGGCTCAAAGTGACCAGAGCAGCCAGAAAGGACAGAGAGGGCGTTTATGGGGCAGGGGATTTACGCTCCTGGTGAAGGAAGACTCAGAAAACAACGGCTATACAACTCGAAGTGCATCATTCATGTCACTATGTGTCCGTGGAAAAACAAATCAGGGAACCTTCTGCTGTGGATACTATCAAGAGCAGCAGAAGAATAAAAGACACTATTAAAAAACGAGAACCACGAGGAATCACTCTCACTTCAGCATTACTTGTCTCTGAACCTCTCCCAGGCACAAACTAGATTTCCTGGAAACAAAACCCGAACCATAAGGGCCTGTCGTTCCTAAATGTCTCTAAAAGCATTCCGCAGAGACAAGGAATCAAACGGGCTTTAGAACACTCAGTGTTTAGTGCTTTTTAAAGCAGTGTGTTTGGCACGGCAGGCATCGTGGTGACCGGACAGGCCCCCTTTTGGGGATGGGGTGATTTCTCTTACAGATCTCAACAAAAACTTCAGTAGCTGGCATAGTCACCGGCTACTGCTCAAGCGAGAGATCAGTGTGTGATCCCCACTGCCCCTCCCTGGACGCACAACTGATGAGGTTAAAGGGACTAGCAGCACGAGTGGGCACTGGATTTTAGGGGAAATCTTCTCTCGACACCTCAATAAAAGGACACCTCAAAGTCATCTTCTCACGGGACACCAGGGTCGAAGACATGCCCAGCAAAAACGTCCATTCTGTTACTGGAATGCCCAGGTCCTTGAGCTCCGGGGTGTCATTCCAGAGACTTTCTGGGCTGACGGCATCTCATCTCTCAGTTTAGATGCTGTGTGCCCCCACGGATGGGCCTGAACTACAAACATGATTACAGCTCTAATCGCTTCTGGTTATGCTTGAGCTGACATTAAGGGAGAGAGTGATGAAAAAAACCCTCAAAAAAACCCCACATCACTTTCTCTGTTATCTGAGTATCCCATCATTTAATTGCAAAAATTAATGATTTGCAAACGCCTAATCATTAGTGTCAATCCAATCTGTTACTAAAGTTCGAATACAGTTTCACTTCAGATGAATCAAGACCTGGGCGGCTTAGAGCCCAGACAAGGCTGTAAAGCATTCACAAGCTATTCAGAAAAGTGCTGGCTGGTCCCCACCCCTCCCAGAAAGAGCAGGAGGCAGCGGGGAACGGAGATGCAAGGGACGCTGGATATAGAAACTTCTAATATATGGCTTTTATTTTCCAGAATAGGGGAAAAATATGAATTAGCTGGAGTGTAACTGTCTTTCCAAAGTCCCAGGGACAGCATTATGAGCAAAAGCTAAAGACCGTTATCTTTATCCACTCACTTATGTTCCCGGAATAAACTGCAGTCTCTCATTACTAGAGATCATACCTCCTGTCCTAAAATCCTATGATCACAGCTGGGCATAAATTATAAACCTACTGATTAATAAAACCAAGCACCCTGGCCAAACAGATCAACTGACCCTGCCTGTGTTTACCTGTCCTTTCAAAAACTGGCACCTGTCAATGTGATAACTTGGCCAAGATCAGCTTTCCACAAGAAACATGGCTCTTCTGGGTAAAAAAAGATCACATTTCAAATTCACTTAAAAAACACTCTTTACATTGATTGTGAATCAAGAATTCTTGTGATTAAAGAAAAAAAAAAAAAAGGTAAGTACCAGCATCTGCCAGAAAAGAAGAGCTTCAATGGAGTTTTCCGTACACCAGTGATATCTCAGCGAAGGTGCTGACAAAACGGGCTCACGTTCATGAGCTCTGCTTCCGAGTAACGTAAGAGACAGAGACCTGCTTCAGTACAGAGACACAACCTGTCTCTTTCTCAGTGGCTTTAGCATTCGTCTCTCAGAAGGAACATCCTAAGACCTGCAGAGCCAGCCATCTTTGAGCAGGCTGACCTGTTACACCTGTCATCCTCCGCAGGCCGACCTCCAGCACAGCACGCCCACGCCTGTCCTAAAAGCTGTATTGTCCTCCACCGGTTCTCTGAGGCTGTAAATCTTTATCGGAGGAAACTGCTCATCTTTCTCTCATGGAGAAGCTGGTGGATTCGAACCACCAACCTTTTAATTAGCAAGATGGTTCGTTACTCTCCATGCCACCAGGGCTATCTTAGGACATACAGTGTTACCTAGACCTAAATGATCTCAGGACTATGGTTTCAACAGCCTCTCCAGCCTCCATGGCTCCAGAAAGTCTGGATTCCGTGAGAACATTCTACTCTGCTCTGTATTTTTGATCACAAGTTGATTTTTTGTTACCTGGTGATGGTTCCGTGTTTACCATTCTATTAATTTTCACTCATGATTAGGACCAAGATGCTTTTCAAATACCCTTCTGAAGTCTAAAAAGAATGTAATTTTTCTGAAAGGCAGCTCCCACTCTCTGCTGCAGTTGTTGGCTGCTGTCAGGTTGGCCCCTGGCTGGTGGTGCCCCTCATGCAGCAGGAAGCACAAGGCTGCCTGTTCCTGAGCCACCCCCACCTCGGGCTTCACATTAGACTCGTGCCCCACAGCACTTTCAGCAGTAGACCACCCCACCTTTCCTCCTAGTCTATTTTAATTGGGAAGCTTCACTATTCAGCTTTCTACAGCAACACGTAGGCCTCCATGGACTGTCATCGGGGAACCCTGAAGTGCATCAGTCAGGAACCAAACCTGGGTTTCCCACATGGAAGGCAAGATTTCTGCCACTGAACTAGCACTGTCTTATCTTCTCTTAAAAAAACAAAACAGGCCTCCACTCTGGCCATAAGACTCAACTGGCTTGCAGAAGGCGGCCCACCAGATTTTTTCTGGTTGCTGATTTCCTGAAAGTTCTGGACCAGAGTGTTTCCAAAATAAATGGACTCCACTGGACTTATGAAAAGGCCTTTGATATTTTGAACATAGATACATTAGTTTCAATCAAGATTTCTAGAATATTATGTAGATGTTAATGATTTCATAGATTGCTGCTACTCCAGAATTTCATGGAACAATTTAACTACATAGGACTGGATGGACTAAAGGATTATTGTGAATAATAAAGATTTCATTTGGAGAAAAAAACACAAAAAACAAACAAAAAAACACATGGTGCAACCACTTTGGAAGGTGGTATGGCGCTTTCTCAAAAGGTTGCCAAAAAAACCATTTGAGCCAGCAATTCCAATTCTGGGAATTTACCCTAAAGAAACCATAACCACCACCGAAGCAGATGTATGCACACCCACGTTTATCGCAGCTTTGTTCGCAATAGCTAAGAGCTGGAAACAACCCAAGTGCCCATCAACAAATGAATGGATAGAGAAGCTCTGGTATGTTCACACAATGGAATACTATGCAGCACTGAAAAACAAGGAACTCATGAAATTTATGCACAATTGATGACCCTGGAGGACATTATGCTGAGTGAAAGATCTCAGTCACAAAAGGACAAATATTGCATAGAGCCACTACTATAAAACAGGATTGACATTAGGGTTGAGGGAAGACTGAAAAGAGGGGAGGAATGATGTATACAGCATTGAAACAGATGAGGGAGAGAACTTTTTAAAAGGGATATATTATTAGGTATTACCATCCTAACAGGAGTCTAGAATGAAGGCTTCACAGTGCAGTGGGGGGAGGGATTGCATAGCAATGAAAAAGTTTTTCTTTTACTCATCAAGGAGAAAAGTGAATTGCGAAGAGGGAGTGGGCAGGGAGAAAAGTGCAACAATGAATGACTGGAAACCCTAAGTCTCTGTAAACTTTCATTAAAATTAATAAAAAAAACAAAAACCCCAAAACAATAAAAAGCCCAACGTGGCTGCTGGTGCGTATTTTCTGACTCTGTTGAGTATTTCCCGAATCCTGTTGTTCTTGTTGTATGTTATCGAGTCAGAACCAGAGCTCTGGTGGCCTGGTGGTAAGAAGTTGTCCTGCAATCCTAAAGGCACACAATTCAAATCCACCAGGGGCTCAGTGGGAGAAAGATGGGCAGTCTCTTCCCACATGATTTACTGCCTCTGAAAACCTGCCGGAGTTTAGGGTTGACTCAATGACACACAACATCCTCCCGACTCCTGGGCACGTTCTTAGAGGGAACAGAACTGGGTTTGGAGTGCTCTCGACAGCACCTAACAACAACAACAGGGCCCCCTGCCCACCATCTTCACCGTCATGGACTGCCGCGTCCCTCTCCCCGTTTTCCCCGGCTGGGTCCACAGGTAACCTCGCCCCGTGCCATTCCCCGTCCCCGCACCTGCTCTCACCATCAGTCTCCGCATCCTCTCCTTCTCGATCCGCTCCGTCTCCTTCTTCTGCTCCCTCTCTGTGTTCGCGTGCCACGTCGCCACGGCTTTCGAGAGCTTCTGGATCTTGCCGGCCACGGAGCGGTGGTACTCCTTAAAGTCCTTGGCGTGCTGCAGGATGCTGTTGAGGTACTCCTGCAAGGAGGGAGAAGGCAGAGAAGGTCTCACTCCACCTCCAGTGTCCGTGAGACCACAGGGACGTCCAAGAACGGACGTGTGTGAGCAGGTAGCAAACAGGAAGGTGGTGGGATTGTATTTTCAGCAGGTTCCCAGCACGTCTCTGAAGCTGAGGCTGGGGCACAAGGCTGCAGGAGGTGGCATCACAGAGTTTGTGTTATCGCGGGATCGTGGAAGAGCAGAAAGATGGAGAGAGCACACTACAGGAGTGACAAAACTCAGGACAAAGCTCTCCACGAAAGGGGGAGATGTGCCCAGTGCGAACTGTCTACCAGCAAGTCTACTCCGACTCGCAGTGACCCTGTAGGGGGCCAGCCGCCCTTCGCAGAGCCGCGAGTTCTTAACCACTCTGCCAACCTCCCTCTCACGGCTGTTCAATCAGAACCAATGCTCAGCTGACCCTCCTGAGGGTTCTAAGAGCCTATAAATCACATGGGGGACGACTGTCCATTTTCCTCCCAACATGCAGCTGGTGGATTCAAACTGCCCACCTTTGGGTTGGCAGCACCCACTAGTTCACCAGAGGCTCCCTATAATGTTACCAAGGACCCTAAATGGGCTGAGTAAACCCCAAAATCCACTTCCTTTGAGTCAATTCTGACTCATCACGCCGTCGTAGGACAGAGAAGAACTGCCCCATGAGTCTCTGGGACTGCAAATATTTACAGAAACAGCTGCCTCATCTTTGCTTGTAGAGCAGCTGGTGGGTTCAGGCCACTGGCTGACCAATCGGCTGGCACACAATGCTTAACCCGCTGCGTCAGCAGGAGTCCTGTGTTATAAAAGGCAAAACCCAACCCACAGGTCAGACTCACAGCAGCCTTCCAATGGCCTTAGATCTTTATGAAGGGGACCGTCCAGCTTCATCTTGAAGCAGCTGGTGGATTTGAACTGCTGACCTTGAGGTTAGCAATGTGATATGTTATCAACTACACCACCAAAGCGCCTATGTTATTAAAACAATGTTAAGTCAAAACGGGCCATTTGCTGTGGGCCCTACAGGTGTTGGAGCAGCGCTGTGTTCCAGGGGGAGCTGCCAGGAGACCCCAGAAAGGAGCGCCTCTGAGTGGAGTGAGATCTGATCTTCTGGCCGGCAGGCAAATGCATCCACCGTTTACTTCACCAAGAGACTCGGTAACTTAAACACCCTCGGGAACCCCAATCATGACTCAAAGTAAGTGTTTACAGAACTAAAATCATCAGATGACATTTGTATCTACTTTATAAATAAAAGCTGGAAGCTGCACCCAGGTTACAGTGAGAACCAGCATTTCATTCAAAGCTAAACTAAGCAAGGCACTAAATCAGGCACAGAAAAACAGTTTACAGGACTGAGACACAAAAGCAAATCCCGCATGAAAATATTTCCAGACTCCTGGAAAAGGAATGTTTTGGATACGTGCCCCTCTGAGATCTCCAACCGGCCTCTCTGATGAGCCCTGGGGGCCTAATTTGGGTTTGTTTTTCCATCAAAACAAACAAACAAACAAACAAAAAACCCCTTTTTGCTCCTCTGCCCTTTTTTAAGCTTCGGCTCCCCAATGTTCACAGTACCCACCTCATCTGGAGCCTCCACGGGGTCAAGAGTATGACACCCGGCTGGAATTCAAGAGAACCAAGGCCTCACCCCCCCCAAAGGAGCCATGGTGGCTCAGGGCATAGGGCACAGGCTCCTAACTGAAAATTCAGTGGTTCAAATCCACCAGCTGTTCCTTGCAAGAAAGCTGGACAGTCTCCTTAAAGATGCCTGGCCTCAGAAACCCGACGGACAGCTGCCAGACATTGACCTGATGGCCAGAAGAAGGCTTTAACCCCCACGTGCCTTCTGATAGTGCGTGACTTTGGGCAGGGCCCCCCTCAGCCACAGCCCAAAGCTCTTCATCTGAGAACCGGTGTGTGGAGGTCGTCACCCCCAGGGAACCTTCTTTCCCATAACTTCTCACCTCCCACAATGGCAGGTCTGTTCAGGTGTCCCAGCTCCAAGCGGTGACCTTACAGGTCATCTCGGTCACTATGAGGCTACTGCAGAAACATACCTTTACACTAACTTTTCTTACAAAATGACAAGAGTGTCACTGAGCTGAACGAGGTCACTGTGACTCCCTGTGACCGCTCAGAGTGGTCCCAGTGTGCTTTTGTGGCTACAATCTTTATGGGGGCAGACTGCCAGCTCTGAGCAGGTCCCAACCACCAACCTTCCCCCTGAGGCCTGAGGACTTAACCACTGTGCTACCAGGGACCCTAAAAGAACAAACTCCAAAGTCATTGCCGAGTAGATTCAAACACACGGAGACCCTGTAAGCCAGCGCAGAACTTGCTCCTGGGCTGCATGTCCCAGTGCCCTACTGGAGCAACAAGGTCATGATACTTCTGGTGGCCTAAGGGTTAAGAAGCTGTGCTGCCGTCCACAAAGCGTGTGGTTCGGATCCACCAGCTACTCCACAGGACGGGCAGATTTATTGTCTCCAACAACCCACTGGAGGGCCTGCTGTGGGTTGGTTCTGACTCAAAAGAGTACAGCAACAGCATTACACACTTAGAGACCCCGGCTCCAGAGACCTGAGCTCTTGGCTCTGAGCCCCTGGGCCTGAGATTCCAGCCTCCTGAGACCCCAGCCCTCTGACCCCCGACCCCCATTCCTGACCCCGAGCTCGGAGCCCCCTGACTCCCCGATACCCGGCCCCACCTGGTGCTTCTGCCGACGCTTGCGCTCCTGCTCGATCTTCTGCTGCTTCTCCAGCTTCTCCGTCATGCGGGCCTCCCTCAGCGTCTGCCGCTTGCTGCGCTTGTAGGCCTTGGAGTTGAGCGCCGTCTCCAGCGTGGTGTCCCGGCGCATGCAGGCCACCACCTCCTGCCGCAGCTGTGGACGGGACAGTCACACTCTGGGAGCCAGCCCACCTCCTCTCACAGCCATCAGAGAACAGACCTGGACACCACCCGCCTCTCGGTCACCCACCGCTGCCCCGCTGACTGGGACTCAGAACGACCCCACATGTCACAGCTGAACCATGGAGGCCAGCACGAGGGCTTCAGCCTGCTATTTTTTTTTTTTTTAAATCCTGTTTTCAACGTGAGTGAATGTTCAAGCTGATTAATTACTGCTGGTTAATTGATTCCAAGGACTAACGGGCCCCTTCTCTATGTTGCCTTTATCTTCTTCAACTTGTTGTTGTTGTTGATGATGTCATGGAGTCAAGCGCGACTCTTAGCGACCCAATGAACAAAAGGCCTGAAGCCCCTCTACAGCCACTGACCTTTATCAAAGTTCATAGAGTTTCGGGAGGCATGTGGTTTAGGAAGTGGATGCCACTCCTGCTTCCTCCAACTTACCTACTTATATCTTCTCTCTCCCTTCTCATCCACTTGGAGGCTAACCTCCAAGGCCACGGCCCCTGTGTGTAAGCCTTCCCTCAGCATCTTGTATCAGCATTCTTATACGTACTCGTCCCTTTGGGACAGACTGATATTCCTCTGCATAATTTGTTCTAGAGTCATTCCTGTTGTTCACGAATTCTTGATGGATTCTCAGTGCTGTGTGACAACAGCTCACTGTGCGAATGTACCAGGGTTTCTTCAGCCATCTTTCTACTGGTGAGCACTTGGGTTTTCAGGGCTTGGGTGTTTTTTTGGGGGGACAATCTCAAGGTCTTTCTCCCGAGATGGATTCAAACCACCAACCTTTTGGTTAGCAGCTAAAGGCTTAACTATCTCTGTCACCCAGGCATCGTCCTTCTCAGCTACATCAAGCCACGGCCGTCCAGTCAGATCCTGACCCTCCCAAGGCTGTAAGTCACACAGGAGGAGAAAGCTCATTTTTCCCCTGTGGAAGTGGTGACCGTTCAAAAGGAGGAACTAAATCATGTCACATTACGTGGAATCCTCAAAGACGGTCTACGCTACCTTTGCAGGTTGTTGTTTTGGGGTTTTGGTTTTTGGGGGTTTTCTGTGTTACTTCTTCATGTGTTTATTCTATGAATCAAATTCATTGTGGCATCACTTATACACAAAAAAATACACTTGTTTTTGAGACCATCACCAGCGGTGGACACTCCGGTGACCTTGGCTGAGTGGAACAGGGACAGTCCACAGGCTGCTGAAGCAAGGTCTCAGCACCGTAAGTCGCCTGCGAGTCAGAGTGACCCTATGTACAGGAGCCCTAACCGCTGCTCTATCCTGTGCCAACCTCACCGTCTCCGACACACTCATTCCCACCACTCCAATCACAGAATTGATCCATCTCATCGAGGGTCTTCCTCTCCTGCGCCGTCCCTCCACTCTCCCAAACAGGATGTCCCTCTCCAAGGAAAGTCAGCTAAAAGCAGTTACAGCACTGTAGCAGTAAAAAGGCAAGTCAATGTCACCTTGGCTTTTAAAGATGCTGAATTAATCCTATTTAATTACCCTAATGATATTAATTAGATAATAGGCTGTTTAAGTTTTTTTTAAACTTCATTTTAAAAATCATACCAACATTCTCTTTGTGTTTAAGGTTCAATTTTAATGACTCTTTGCAAAAAGAATAAAAGAATCCTTTTCCATTCACGTCACACGGAGTGGCAGGTGCTCAGTCTTCATTCAGAGCCATATAGAAAGTGGGGGCACAGTCAGCCTCCTTCCAACCAGCCTCCAAAACCCACTTACAGTTGGCATTATGCCAGGGACTCGGTCTACTAGATCGTAAATACAGTAGTTTATTCCTATGTTAGGGAGCTCTGGTGGCCTAGTGGTAAGGAACTACACTGCCATCCCAAAGACTCTTGGTTTGAATCCACCAGCTGCTCTGGGGGAAAAAGGATGAACTCTCTCTCCAAGTGATTTCTAGTTTCTGAGCTGACCCATTGGAGGGTCAGCTATGAGTCAGTTCTAATTAGATGGCACACAACAACAACAACAACAACAACATTAATATCTCGTAGGATGTAGTAACAGGGAACTTGGGACAGACATGATACAAATAATTCAAGTAAATCAGAAAGAAGCATCAATCACAGTGAAGGCAGCGGTGAACCAGCCTAGATAATGGATTTTTCAATAATATTGAACATGCAGAGACCTGTAAGTCCAACATAATGAAGCTTGTTTGAATATGATCTTATTCCTGAAAGTGTATTTGGTAGATATGTGTCCATGTGACAATATTTTCCCAAATGCTCTGTGATTATTTTTCATAATATGTTATTGTGTGACAGTGAATCAAGTCCCACTTAGAGCAATGCTGTGGGACAGGGCATAAGTGGCCCTTGGGGTTGAGCAGGGTAATCTTTATGGGAGATGAGTGCCAGCTCTTTCCTCCTATGGAGCTGGTGGCTTTGAACTACCAACCTTTCTGCTAGCAGTGCTTTCAGTGCTTAACCACTGAGCCACCGGGGCTCTTTTCATAGTCTCATAAAAAGAATCATTTTATGAATATCTCATGTGACGTGACAGGAGTGTATTGGGTGGGCAGACGGCTGGAGAGCCACATGGTAATAACAGTTCCTTATAGGGAACTCTGGTGGCATAGTGCAAAACACGTCCACCTTCCAGCTGAAAGGTCAATGGTTCAAATTCATGAGGTGGTCTGAGGGCTAAGGATGGGCAGTGTCCTCCCACGAGGAGTCACAGCCTGGGAAGTCTAGGGGAGGAATCCTATAAAAGGAAGGCCATGGCACCAGTGCTTAGGGGATCCCACTATGCATATTATGAGGGTGTTCTTTTTGCTTTTGAGCTTAAATACACTCTCATCAACCTACGGCAAGCGACCCCTCAGGGGCCCTCATGCCATTCCAGGCAGCGAGGCACACGCCACACAAGTGAAGTGGCCTTGTGATTTCTGTCACATCTTCGAGCAGGCCTAGTCATGCAATTCAATCCTTTCACACAAAGAAGTTCACTCATGAATAATTCACTGTGCACGCTGGGACCTTAAAGGAACCAATCCACCTGACTGGTGGGGTACACTGCCTCGTCATGGTTTCGAGGAGGCCGGGGGACTGGGGACTGCGAGACCAGCACCTCCTGGGTCCACCAGGCCAGAGCCGCAGAGTGAAACCAGTGTTATCACTGCACTGTAAAAACATTACACCACGTTTGCTTCATGGTGCCGGTAGAGCATGCTGTGAATGCCAGGGACCTCCAAAATCTGTCTGTCTGGGAGGACTGCTGAAATCTGTCTGTCCGAGAGGAGGCTTTTCCCTATCTTTTGTACTTTAAAAAGAATTGAGTGAAAGTTTTCAAGTCATACTGCATTTTCACTCAATAATTCAAAGACTTTCCATTTATAACATTAATTAAAATAAATTAAAGCAATTAATGAACCTGAAACAAATGATACTGAGTGCCATAACTCAGTCACAGAAGGACAATTATGGCATAAGACCACTTATAAAAAGCTAAGGAGAGGTTTACATGCAAGTAGAATCAAACATGAAAGGAGAAGGAGGGGTGCAAAAATGAATTTGTAAATAAGTGGTGTCATAGGAAAGGCGATACACAGTCAGGGTTTGATCAGACACTGTAATCAGGGGGTAATTTTTTAGGAAGTTGATCACCAGGCCTTTCTCCCAATACACCTCTGGCTTGGACCAATCTGTGGTTGGGAGCGGGACACCTGGCACCTTGTGTCACTCTGGGATTCTACGTTAAATAATAAGCAACTACTAAAAAAAATAAAAAATCATGAAATCAAAAGACATGTCACACTGGAGAAACCCGCAGTGAAAGGCCTCTCCAAAGTGCTGAAGAGAAAGGGTGTCAGTGTAAAGACTAAGGTGCACTTGATCTGAGCCAGGATTTTTCACTTGCTCCTTATGTGACTAGAGTTGGACAATGAGTACAGATGGCAGAAGGTCTGCGGCCTTTGCACTGTGGTGTCAGAGACCAGTACTAAATATCCAAGGACTGCCAAAAAAATAAATGAGTTTCTCTTGGAGGAAGTGAGATCAGGGAGCTCCTTAGAGGCAAAGATGGTAAAATGGGGCTTCACATACTTTGGGCATGACGTCAGGAGGGGCTAGTCCTTGGAGAAGGACATTATGCTGTGGAAGGTGGAGGGTCAAAGAAAGAGAGGAAGACCGTCAACAAAACAGACTGACACAGTCACAGTGGCTTTCACAACGGATGCTGCAGGGTAGGGCATAGTTCAGGTCCGCTGTTCACAGCGTAACTGCGAGTCAGAGTCCACTGGGAACCAATAAGAACAAATGTGGGAGTCCCTTCATGATGCCGGTGGTGAAGGACGGAACTGCCGCTGACCGAAAAGGTGGACGGTTCCCATCCATGCGGAGGCACCTTGGGAAACAGGCCTGGTAAACGGGCCCCTCTGAAACCCCCAGCCTGCGAACCCCCGCAGACTGTCCCGCCCCGCACACAGGGGGGCTCCTCGAGGTGGGGCCGACTTGACGGCCTTCCCGCTCCAGTGATGAGCTCTGATTTCAGAGTGCCTGTCTCATCTTCTGCAGCTGCTTTTCCCTCAGCACGGCTCATCTATTACGCTCACTCTTACAAATTCATATCAACGATCATTTCTGGTTTCCGTGGAAGCGCATCAAACCAGCTTTCATTCACCCTAACTAACACCCACGAACCAGGCTCTATAGCAAGGCTTCGGTTAGGTGCTGGCCAGTCCATGTCGACTCAACTCACAGGGCCGCCCCATGGGGTTTTCTGGGATGTTATGGGAGCAGATGAGGAGGTCTTCCTGCCAGGGAGATGCTGGGTGGGTCTGAACTGCCAACCTCTCAGTTAGCAGTCAAGTGTGGGCTTAACCACTGTGCTACCAGGGCTCCCCTGTAGACGACAGTGGAGGATAAAAACGTCTCAGACACGCAGAGCAAACCACACTGCTGGCAGTTCATCCGCGGTGGTCTGAGCTGAGCTGCTGGGTAAAAGGGAGATCATTTCCCTAAGTCTGTATTTTTATGACCACCTTGAATAGAGGCAGGAAGGGCCCTGCCAGGGCACAGCCAATGAGCAATTACATTTACTTCCCACGTCGCGGGCTCACGGGGAGAAGACATTACCTGACGCTGGAAGTTGAGTAAGCGCAACGCCTTCAGCTCCACGGTGGCTTTGGTCCGTAAATCTGGTGGCAGCGAGCCAGGCAGGTTTTCCAGCTCCTGGATGCGGTGAGCTATGCGGGCCTGGAGTCTGAACAAGATCATAAAACGGGTGAGCAGGGGCTGTGCGGACACACTACAGAGTCCAGCCTCTCAGGTCTACAGTCACCAGACAGCACAGTCCCAGCAATGTTGGTCAGCGTCTGCACTCCACAGATTGTGTGATGGTCAGGGGAGACAGTG